CATCCCTCAAGGTGCGATTCTGTCCCCAATGCAAGTCAACATTTACATGAAGCCACTGGGTGAGATCATCTGGAAGCATGGGGTGGGGTGTTATCAGTACACTGATGATACCAAATATATTTCTCTATGTCTTTCTTGGACTGATGTAGTGATTAAGGATGGCATCTCTCCTCTGAATGCCTGTCTTGGGGCAGTAGTGGACTAGATGAAGGGAAACCGACTCATGCTGAATCCAGATAAGATGGAGGTATTTGTCATAGGAAACCCGAACCTGAGAATGGAATTATGTCAGCCAATTCTGGATGGGGTTACACTTCCCCTGAAGGACTCTGTCCTCAGCTTGGGGGTGCTCCTTGACTTGTCACTTCACTTGACAGCTCAGGTGGATGTGACAGTCAGGAGCTCCTGTTATCAGCTTTGGCTGATGCACCAGCTGTGCTGGAGCAGGGAGACCTTGAAACAGTAGTACATGCACTGGTAACCACTCAATTAGACTTCCGTAATGTGCTCTACATGGGGCTACCCTTGTGCCAAGTCCAGAAATTTCAGCTTGTACAAAATATGGCAGCCAGGTTGATTATGGGTACTTCCCGTAATGACCATATAACACTGGTCCTGAAGTCCCTTCACTGGCTGCCAATTAGTTTCTGGGCAAGGTACAAGGTGTTGGTTATTACCTTTAAAGCCCTACATGGCTTGGAACCAGAATACTTAAAGGATCGCTTTCTTCCATATTGTCCATCCCACAGAATAAGGTCCTCAGGGAAGACTCTACTACAGCCAAAAAAATCTAGGCTAACATCAGTAAGTCACAGGGCCTTCTCCACTGCTGCTCCAAAGCTGTAGAATGACCTGCCAGAGGAGATCCATCATATCTCTACTCTTACAGCCTTTAAAAAGGCTCTTAAGATGGATCTCTTCCTGCAGGCTTTCCCAACTTAACTCCTCTCGCTACACAAGGTGATCTACATCACTCTGCCCACCAGTTATCTCCCTTTTTAAACTTTTGTATTTTTGTTTTTAAATTATGTTTGTTTAATTGTAATTTTAGCATTGGATAGCAGGGGAGGTTGGGAAGGGACTAATTTTTTGAATTTTATTGTATTTGCATGTATTTTTATTGCCTTGTGATTGGGTGGGCTATAAATACATAATTTATTATTATTGTTAAGCTAAAGCGTGTCCAGAGGAGAGCAACCAAAATGGAGAAAGGTCTGGAAACCATGCATATGAGGACCATCTTAGGGATCTGGGTATGTTTAGCCTGGAGGACAGATGGTTAAGAGGTGACATGATAGCTATGTTTAACTATTTGAACAGATGTCAGATTGAGGATGGAGCAAGCTTGTTTTCTGTTGCTCCAAATACTAGGACACGGGGCAATGAATTCAAGTTGCAGAAAAAGCGATTCCATGTAAACATTAGGAAGACCATCCTGACAGTAAGAACTGTTTGACAGTAGCATATGCTTCCTTGGAGAGTGGTGGAATCTTCTGCATTAAAGATTTTTAAACAGAGGCTGGATGGAAGTGCTTTGATTGTATCTTCCAGCATGGCAGAAGGGAGATGGATTGGATGGCCCTTGGAGTCTTTTCCAACTTCATGTTTCTATGAAAATAATTCTTTTGAAATATTTGAGGGAGTTTTTGAGACCTTAGGGCTGGGGTAGGCAACCTTTCCCCTTTAAGGGCCAAGGGATTTCAGCTCCCAGAATCCCAGGAGCTATTGGCCAACATGGGACTATTGGCCAACATGGCTGAGGCTTCTGGGAGCTCAGGCATACTGACATACTAATGACACTATTTAGATGAGCATCACACCACAGATGAGTGTGCATGAAGCTATCTAACCACTTGGTAGTTTAAATGGATACCAATATGATTTTATAGCCAAAGAAACGGAATGCTTTATACAACCAGGTGTGTGTCAGTGCCTTGGGAATAATGGCTGGAATTCACTAAGGCCCTGAACAGACTGGGACTGGAACAATCTATGACATAATTCAAGACAAGGAAGGAATAAAAAGACATTGGATGCAATACACAGAAGAATTATATAAAACAGATGACAAAATGAAGGGCACATGGAATGAAGAGCCATATGAAGATGAATCCCAAATTCTAAAATGTGAGGTGGAAACTGCAATAAGAGAAATAGGAAAAAACAAACCACTGGGAACAGATGATATTCCAACTAAACTGCTGCAATCCACATTGATAGAGTCAACTCTTGTGCTAACCAACATATATCAACAGATATGGAAAACAAAACAATGGCCAACAGATTGGAACTGATCAATATTCATCGCCATCCACAAAAAGGGAGACACAAGAGAATGCAGCAACTATAGGACCATAGCACTGATCTCCGATGCAAGCAAAATTATGCTCAAAATTCTGCAACATAGATTCCAACCATACATGGAGAGAGAGATCCCAGAGGCCAAGTAGGGTACAGAAAAGGAAGAGGCACTAGAGATCACATTGCAAACATACAATGGCTAATGGAGTGCACCAGGTAATTCCAAAAGAAAATCAGCATGTGCTTTATAGACTATAGCAGAGCCTTTGACTGCATAGATCAGGGGTCGGCAACGTGCGGATGTGGGTGCAGGCGCATGCACCGCCATTTTGAAAAAATGGCGGCTGCCACCCCCTGCATCATGCGCACATATGCACGGTGGCAGGGGCCCCCCAGGAGGGCTCCCTTGGCCATGCCAGGCCCCACGGAGGCCCCCAGGAGGCCCCCCTCGGCAGCGCCGGGCCTCCGATTAGGCCCAGCACTGCCGCAGGTGCCCACCAGGAGGCCTTCCTCAGCAGCGCCGGGCCTCTGA